GCACTGAATCTGTCATCATCACAGCTCTCTCACTATTTATACCAGTGCTTAAGGAGGAGTCACTGCAATCTCCTCCTGAATGACAGGAATGGAAGAAGTAAAACAGGAAGCAAAGTGACGTGACATTTACTTCTGCTTTGAACTTTTATGGTTACGACTCGGCTCAAAAGCTGCAACATAAAGTGGAGACGGATACGAGACTTTTAGAAACATTGCTTCCACTTTAAACCACTCGAGAATCTCAGCTTAAAATGACAGCCCAGAGAGCCCAGAGAGAATAAAGGCGAGAAGTGGCATCTCCACCAAGCCAACCTCAGGCACCCCTTTATCCAATCAGGTGTAGGCAATGGTCAGTTAAGGCTCTGTAACACCCAGAAACTGTATTTGCTGAAAGGCTGGCGCTACACTGGAACAGTTCTGCTGCGATTTGTTTTTGCTGTATATTTGAAAAGGTCACAAAGAAAGGGAAAAGTTTATATATCAAACATGCCAGACCTCTAAATTATTAAAATTTTGGTTTTTACAACAAGAACAGGATATTTAATCAAAAAATCATATAGAAATAGTTGGGGAGGTCATGTGTAGAAAATCTCAAAGGAGGGAACTCAGAGAGGAGAAGGCACAGGCAGTGGATATGGATATTTTGCGGTGGTCTCGAGGGACATTTTGGCCTGGTGTTAGTTTCAGCAGCAGGATCGAGCTGACAAATCTCCAGATCCATGCATCAGGTGTGACTCTTTGACTAGACTGTCTGCTCTTACCACAGCGTCCTTACACTCTCCAGAGACGCACACAGATGGAGCCTGCCTCTCTCTATCTCAGTAAGGCACGTAGTATGTAACTGCTTATCTGCACGAAATGGAAGACAATTCCCCAGCGTCACTGGACAGTCAAAGGAAAGGTGGAGGTCTGAAAAAGGGAATTTCAAAAAATGACAAGCAGGAAGCAGACACATCTCTCATCCTTTGTATAAAAGATGCAGGCTAAATGTTTTATCATTACCTGCAAGTTTGTGAGGGAGCACCTGTAGCTGCTGCGCAGAGCTCATCAAGGCTAGACTACCAGATGGCAGATACCTTAATAACTGAGGGCTTTGTTTAAAAAAAAGAAGCTAAGTTACAGCCTTAAATGCATCCATAAAGCTTTGCACAAATGTGAAATTTCAGTTCCAAGAATGTCGATATAACCCTGATATTTAAAAATAAGATCTATTGTTAATAACACAAAATCAGAATCAGAGAAACATTTTAACATTTCAATGCATTTGCATGTGGATGGAGATTCTGTACATCTGTCTTAACTCTTATTGTCAGTTTCATTCATTTACAAAATAGAGCGGTTCGATCCTGAGATGACACAAGTCCCTTTGGGGTTGAATCAGAAAGGGCATCTGGCATACAAACTCAAATGTGTAGCTACCCGTGCTAACTACTCTGTGTGAATAACGGAGCAGCTGAAAGTCGTGTTCTCCATAAATTAGAGACAAACACAGTTTACTGATAGTGCTTTTAAATTTTTCAATAGAAGACAAGACATTATTAGATGTCTTGTATTAAACGTTGGACCTATAATATCATTAAAGTGAATTATTGTAATCATGTAGAGAAAATCTGAGATAGTGACAGCCTCAAATTACAGGCTTATTTATATATATACACAAATATAGAATATTTATACACAAGTGGAAACAGCCGGGCCAAAATAAGACACAGGTGTAGACAGTTAAAACAATGAAGTGGGGGAGGAAATAAAGTATAAAGTAGAGGAGATGGTTCTTGTTTTATTTTGGTAGTCAGCTAATGCGGTGACAAAAAACCCTTATCGGCTTTCAAAGAAAACAAGGACAGCATTCAAACACAAATCAAAGGCAAAGGAAGAATAAAACTCATCAGTACCAAAGACAAGCCCATAATAATCCAGCCTCAAAATAAAGAAATCAGGACCCAAACACAGGGAAACTAAGACCAACCCATTACAAACCTATAAAACAAACAAACCCAGTGGTTCTCGGTCACGAAAAAATAGAGAAAATGAGTTTTCTAATGCTGTAATGATATTCCACAAACTCTGTTTCCACTAATGATATAAAATAAAAAAATAAATGAAAAAAGATTAAAGACAAACATGTGGTGTATGGGGCACGGGCACTTTATGGAGCTTCAGAATTAGTGCATGCCAGAAAAAGTTAAGTGGCCTGTGATGGAGTCCAGGAATGATTGTGAAGACAAAGGCAGGAAGTTAAGGTGCAGGTGATACAAAAAGAAAAGCTTCTACCAAACTAAGAAGGGAGCACTAAAATCAAAACAGGAACTAAAACTTGATAATGTCACAAATACTCAGGATCTTGGGGTTTCCATGTGATCGAGCGCTACTTGCCAGAAAAGACTACACCATCAAATGTAAATGACTGCAGATGGAAACAGACGTCTTCTTACTAAGGTGAAATTTAATTTTGCTCCCTGCTCGTGCCAAACGTTTGATATATTCATTAAAAAAAAAAAATTAAAAACCTTGTACCAAACTGAATTGTCCCTTCTCTTCTCAGCTTCCAGCATTACTGTTAGTTTTGGATGAATGGTGGGAAAAATATGGATGTTTGTGATGCGCGCTGCAGTAAACAGTGGTTGGCCTGTGTGATTGCATTCAGTGCATTGATACTCATCAGTCTTTCATGTCTCCCTCTGATGTTTTGTACTTTAAACTTAAACATGTGGGTGTGTGTAGGATCCTTGACCCAGCAGACACGTGGCAGGATGCCAGACATTGATGCTTTTAGCCGCCATGGTGGTGTGGCTGACTCACCTTCTTGCTCCGTCGGAGTAAATGCGTGTACCAGCATGCTTGTGTGTATGTGTGTGTGCGTAAGCATATGAATGTAAAAATCTCAAGAGAAAAAAAGAAAAAAAAACCCCACACATTATACAATACATGATTTTTATAATTATAAAATAAATGTGAAGGGCCATGATTGCAGCGGTAACAAGGAAATGGAGACCTGCCGTTAAACCTTTAGAAGGGAACAACAGCTGTATGTGTGCTGTATGCTGAAAATAACATATAAAATAATGACTGCTGCAGTGCTTTTATTGTGTCTTACCTGTTTAACGGTGGTGGTCATGTTTGAGGAGGGAGAGCTACTCAAATACTCCAAATAAGACCTCTGAATTATAGTTTTTACCTCTGTTGTTTACATTTAGTGCCATTTAATCTGTGAAGTCTCAGCATAAACAGTGTGAAACTGCTAAACATAGTTCAGTAATTCCTTTAGTAAAACAAGACCCCAGTAATATGTTTATATGCTAGTGCTAAAAATGTTTCTGCCCTCTATTTCTATTAATTTTTACATTATAGGCTTTGATTTTCTTGTATTTTCCACTTGTATTCACTGCACTGTGGTGCAAGCTTAACCTCTGATTGAAAAGTCCAAAAGAAAAAAAACAAAGTCTAGAAAATAGAGCACTAGGGACATGTTCAGGTGGCCAGCCCCTCAGGTCCGACTCCAGGGTGAAGCACTGGTATCTCATCAGATCCAGGCGAGGTTTCTGAATTCCATGCTGCAGTCATTGCAGAGGTCTGGCTCCTCACTTAGGACCAGATTACCTTGGAAACCCTACCAGAAGGAGCTGGCCTGCCATGGAAACCCATGCCATGAAGCTCCTGGCTCACACTTTTTGTGCTGATGTTAATGCCAGAACAGATTTGGATCTCTGCAGTCACTGTTTTAGCAGAGAATTGTTTACTTGTATTTACTCTGCCACCCCAACGGTTATTCCCTTGAGACCTTACCCTAGATTTTACCCCCCTGAGACTTTGTGGTTGAGTTGTTATGGCTGCTAAACACAGTTGATTGTGGGATATCGTCGAAGGAAGAAATTCCAAGAACTGACTTGTTGCAGAGTTGGCGTGCTATTATAGTACTACACCTCAGTGAGCTGTATGAAACAACTAGTTCATTCATACATGTTTGTAAAGACAGACAGACAGATGCTAGGAGCTTGATTTGATACAGCTGCAGCAACTAGAGTAAAAACTCATAAATACAAAGATTAAGGAGTGTCCCCCAACACTGTTTTCCATATAGTGTAACTCCTGAGATCAGAGCATGCAAACCCCTCCACCGCATTAAATGTGGATTAATTCTTCAGCAGAAGATCTAGGTTGTAGCTACATTAAACCACACACCCAAGAAGGTAATTGCACACGCAATATGCATAATGCACCAGCACAATCATAAACGCCACCAACGACGTCAGCCACTTGCGTAGGTTATGTCACAGGCTCTTCAAAGAGACACCGCAGGTCTAAATCAGGCTGAAGGTTGTGACTCATTGGCAGGGTTGCAAGCGGACAACAACAGCTGAAACTGTCTTCCTCTTCAGTTGCTTCTTCCCTTCTCTGAAGGGCATCAACACAAGAAGGGACCAGCAGCGAAGTGGCAGCCACAGGGCGTAGATTGCCAGTGACAAAAAGCAATGATGGGTGAAAAAAATGCTTGTGATGCAAAATCCATATTGACTGAAGTGATTGAAGCAATTACCAGTGAGAGTGATTGATACTCTTAATTGACAAATGAGGAGGTGGTAAATACATTAGAGGTTTCCCTAGACAACCTCTGGCTGAAATATCCACTACTAACCAGTCATTAGCTACAAAACAAGATGCATGATGAAGGAATCGCTTTGTAAGTGGACTGGGCTTAGGAGACATAGTCATTGAAAGATATCAGATGAGGTGGTTTGGACATCTGACGCCTCATAGGTGAGGTGTTTTTTTCACATGTCCAGCTGGAAGGAGATGTTGCGGCTCACCCAGGACATCCTCAAGAGATTTTGTCTCTGGGTTATCCTGGGAATACCTCCATGTTCCACTAGAAGAGCTGGAAATGGGGACAGGGGCAAGGGACTGCTTACCCAGAACCAGACGAGCATAGGGAAATAAATGGATGGCCCTATATTAAATGTTATGTTCATGTTATGTGTGTTTGTTTGTGTGCTCAACAGAGAGGGCAGCACCAGTATTCTGAACAACCTGCTGTCCAGGATGGAGCAGTACGCCAACAACCTGGAGAACCTGGTGGAGGAGCGAACACAGGCTTACCTTGAGGAGAAACGGAAAGCTGAAAACCTCCTCTATCAAATTTTACCACAGTAAGAAAGAAGAAAAAAATAACAGCGTTCACTTTTTAGCCTCACAGCCAAAAGCTTAAAACTCCCAGTGAACTCGAACACAGCAAATTGGGTGTCTCAATGACACTTTGTCATTTGTGTTAAATCCCTGTATTAATTAAAGACTCCGAATTCCTCCCAGTGCTGCATTTTATTAACGGATACACATTTCCCCGCGGTGCCATCTCACTGTAGATGAAAGGGAACACAGAGAACTGACAGGCGAACCGCTCATTAAAGTGAGCCGGCAGATCAGACGTGATAGCGAGTTTAGGCATTTGGATAACACCACAGGAACAAATCCCATCTTTCTCACCCACTTATCTGCTTTTTCTTGGCCCCCTCCATCAAAGCCAGACTGTCAGAGAAAGGCCTGAGAGGAAGGACACATTTCATTTCTCACCACACGTATGAATTGAGTAAACTTCTTTTTTTGGCTTTGGTATCATTCGATTAACAGGAAATTAGTGTTAGCAGAATTAGCAAAGATAAACTGACATCTGGTTATAATTGAGCCTCCCGGGCGTTGATGTAATTGTGATTCAAAGAAACATATCTTTGATTATATTTTAATTCAAAAACTTAACATAATTAAAATATATACATCTTGTTTCCTTCCTCCTTTCTGATTCTTGCTTTCTCTTTCTCTCTGTCATTGTTTATGCAGCTCTGTAGCAGAACAGCTGAAAAGAGGGGAGACCGTGCAGGCAGAGGCATTCGACAGCGTCACGATTTACTTCAGCGACATTGTGGGCTTCACATCCATGTCTGCAGAGAGCACGCCGCTACAGGTACACGCCGATCATTGCCTCATCGCAAACCTCAGTTTTGTCTGCTTCTGACAGCATTTAAGTGTTAACTTTTCTGACTTTCAAGCTAATCTTAAAGCTTTTAAGAAATCAGTGGTCGTGATCGCAGTTGCAGTGAATTCTCTCTTCTCTACTCATGCATGAAAAGTGCTCACCGGGTCTCCATCTACAGTGTGTCTCATAGTGTGTGTTCCCACACATAGGCCGCGACTGAAAATAGTACAGTTGTTAGATGGTAGAGTACGTTGACTCAGAGTTGAGTCACGTTATGCCACCACATATCTCCCTCTCACTTTAATACCAAAGTGGTTTCTAGACTTCATCTGGACGATATGTCTGCTAATGGATAATATCACACTGTCAGGTGAACTGGAATCACCCTGAGAAAAAACAAAAATGTGTTTCTCTTCCAGTGTGCGGAAGAAAAGGTTATGTTATTTGACAAAGCTAAAAAAGAAAGAATAAAAAAGGCCTTGTAGACCTTTTTTCCAAAGCAGACATCTTGACTTTTCACATGGAAAGCAGAGAAAGCACAGATGTTTTAATTGTGGCCGCATCCCCTTTACAGGATCTCATAGATGATGGATTTACCCCTGCTGTGTTAGCGCATCATCCTAGAGACTGGTTGGCAACCTACTGGCAACCACCAGTCTCTAGGGAAAAATTATTATTCCCCAACTAGTTGGAAAGTGGTATACCAGTTGGGGAAGATGTATATTTATACAGTCCTGAATGGAAAAACATTCCTGTGATTGCTTTGGTCAATAGTAGATTGCTAAGCAATAGTAAACTCTATGGGAATTCAATTTTTGGGGGGAGCCAGCCCCAAGTGGCCACTAGAGGAACTCCAGATACACATTCCTTTCCCCTTTGCTTGATACCCAAAGGAAAAACTGTTCCCTGTTACACAATAAATACGTATAACTGCTTACAAACACCTAATTTCTATATAAAGAAAAAATGCATTGCTTAGAAGACAACAAGGGTTAAAGAAGAAGTAGTTTCAGATATTACATCTATATTACTTCTAATGAAAAAATGTACTTCGGAGGTAAAGGAACTTTTTTCTTTCCCCAGCCCTGGTTAAGCTCTGGAGCCAATCCTGTCAGGTCACACACACACAATGCCAAAATCCCCCTGTCAATCAAACTCTTCACCTCATCTTGACCTGTAATTATAGCGGCTCTGTGTGCACCCAAACAGCCATTTTCAGAATGCTGTAGATTATTCCTGAGGATCATCATTCACCCAAAGTGCTTTTTTTGGACATGTGATGGATGTCACCTGCACCCAGAGTCAGCCAGTGCGGATTCTGCAGTAAAATGAAGGAGTCAGCTGTCTTGCCTACCACAAGATTTTCTCTATAATGAAGCTATATATGGTATAAATATACTGTATGCAGCTGAAAGGTGTGTGGATTACAGGTATATGTGTCGGGCCACAGAAATCATT